CCCATACTGGATGACTGCTCCCACAGCCTACCTGGATCACATTCCCATACTGGATGACTGTTCCCACAGCCTACCTGGATCACATTCCCATACTGGATGACTGTTCCCACAGCCTACCTGGATCACATTCCCATACTGGATGACTGTTCCCAGCAGTTTCCTGTTCTCGGTTTCGTTCTGTTTCTTCTCCAAGTCGGCCGCATGCTGAAATCAAGGGATAATAATTTAATTCCCTGGGTTTTTACAAAAGGGTGGCCAAACACCTGAGGCTCTTGGAGAGTATTTCAAAGAACTGGAACAACAGTGAGCAGCTGAAATAGCCCAATTTCCTTTTTTTCCAGCTTCCAACAGCATAATTTCCAGTTCCCTTTTTCAATTGCTTAGGAAGACAGATACACAGCATTTAAGTAATTAGGGTACAATTTGACAAAATTTTGGAATAAAATATGAGATGAAAAGCTCAGACAGAGTAGAAGGCAAGTACCTGTGGGGGGAAGAGATGAAAAGGGATGGGTAACAACTCCAGTCAGGAATTCTATGCTCCTTTCTACTGACTTCTATACAAATGGAAAGAACTGCAACTTTGATTTTTTATTTTCCTCTGCCAATACAGGCTCCAGCTCCTCTCCAGCCTGTCTTTTTATAACGTCTCCAATCCCCCCACCCCGTGCCGCAGGATCATTGAGAAGATGTGTACAAATGCCCACTGCAGCTCTGGGTACCCGAATTCCCAACTCCCAGCACCAGAGCTCATCCTTCCCGAGGCTGTTGGATACTCTGTGCTACAGCTGAGCATCCCTGTATCACGCCAACAGGGGAATAAAAGGGAAAGCTCCTCCAAAACTGAGTGATTAGAGGAACACATAGTAATAGTTAATAATTTATAACAAACCTCTTGCACTTTTTGCTTTAAAAGTGAGTTATTTTGCCCAGGCTGTTATTAAAACCATTTCATTTGGTTAAGAAATTCTCCCTCACTTTAGATGAAACAGGATTTTAATTAAAAATATAAATCTGTATTTGCTTTAACTGCTATCTGGTGGTAGAGGGTAATTTAAAACTGAACTTGTTAGGAGGCTAAGGATCAAGGTTTATGGTTTGGGTCTCAAGGACTATGGCAGGTCCAGTTCTCTCTTGGAGGAGAAAAGTGCCCACAGTTCCTCACTATGGCGAGATGAAGTACCAGCAACACAGGACAAAGCTCAGCTACCTCAAAGGAAGATTTCTCTGCTCACTGTTACAGAATTTCACCATTCCAGCTCACTCAAAATGTGCTATTTTTAGAAGCTGTGTTAGGTATCATAACTGGCTCTTGCTCCAGGAGAACCTGAGATACAGCTGCTCACTCAAATTCAAAAGTACATCCAGCAATGCACAATTTTCTCCTTAATACTGAAATATAACTTTTTTTTTCTTGATTTCCAAGTAGTCTGTCAAGAAAGGATTTCTTTAAGACACCAGATCCCTCTCGACCACCAGCAATCACAGACAGGACTTCTCTACCTGCCACACTGATTATCAATACAGAAAATAACGTATTCCGCGAAAACACGATTAGGACTCCGGATGTACTTCCCGAGCACCCACCAAACCTGACAATCATCCCAGAAGAAGGACTTCTCTGGCCACTAGATGTCAGCTCCTCAACCAGCACCGAGGTGGGACCAGGGAGAGACAAGTGTCCCAGATTCTAAATCCCTTAAATGGCATTAACTTAAAATAACCTGACCTCAGCACCGAGCACTCCGTGGCACACAGTAAATTCCACCAGCAGACAAACAGAAGCCAAAAAAGGCAAGTGGTGATGAACCCATCTTGCATCATCGATTGGGCTGGAAATCAAAGGCACTGATAAAGAAACCTCCCCCTGGGCAGAGCTCTCACCCCTGAGCACGTGGACAGGGCCCCACACAGACCACACGGGGTTTGGTGCATCCCCCGTGCCGACACATGGAAAAGGTGACACGTGGGCCCAACGTGACAGGCAGAAAGAGAAGTTTGGATGTGAGTGAGGTACATGGCCCCCAATTATTTCCAAGCCCCAGGTCACTGATTCAGCCCGTCAGCCTTCGTGTCAGAGCGATGCAGATGAAACGATCCCAATAAAACTGAGAGCGCTCAAACCCTGCCACCAAATCAAGCAGTTCATGGTGGGACATTTCTCTGCAAACATCACTCAGCTGGGGCTAATTCTGGAAAAAATCTAATCCTGTATTTCCAGGACACTGGCACAAAAGGGCAAAGTGTCACATGAGCAGGGACAGATCCCAGACACCTGCACTGGGAAGGGAAGACAACTCCCAGTGACACTGTAATCCAGGACAATTCCAAAGCCTTTTTTTTTTTTCTGCATGATGCAGTATTTATACCATAATTTCTCTTAAAATCCATGAACTCTCCCCTTTCCTTATACACCAAAATAACCAACCCAGAATCCCCATCACTTCCAACCTGCTGCCAGTGTCTCCTTCTCTTACCAACATGAGAAACACAGCCCAGGTGAGGGACCTCTGTGCTACAGCCAGTACCAAAATAGCTCTGTCCTTGCCAAGTTAATACTTCTAGCTTATAAAACTGTATTTTCAGAAGCAAAATGAGTCCAACGGTGGGTCTTTGTGCAGTGCAAGAGCAAGGCAGCCATATGGCAATCAGCAAGTGACACTCTCCTACGGGGCCATTCCGTATTTCAGGCTACAATGAGCTTAATATAGGCTTAAAGAGACTAAAAATACCCAAATTGTAATTTTGACATGAAGTACTCCAACTATGTAATTTTAACATAAACATGGAGTTTATTTAACTCTAAAGTCAACAGATGGTATTTAAGTTAAGTTGGCTTTTTTTTACATAGGAACTCTAAAAACAGCAATCAACTGCCTTACCGAGTTTTCAGCTGCTGAATGTCAACATTTTACCCAGAAAATATTAAATACTGCGAGCTAATATGGAAGGAGAGGCTGGCTGGCCTTCTAATTACTCATAATTACCCATCAACCTTCACGTGTAGCAACAGCAGCTCTGTTTGAGGAATCCCAACGGGTTGATCAGACCAGCAGCTCACAGTTTCCCACGTCGAGATGCGATGCCTGAGAATTCTGTGCAGTTGTTTCAGGGGTCCCATTTTTACGCTCTTCCCACCCAAAATGCCCACTTAGAGCCCCGTGACATTTAGCACAGGTTAATGACAGGAGCCTCAAGGGCCACCATGGTTCCAAAGCAGCACCATGGACACCAGTACTGGGGGACACAGACCTTGAGCAGCATTTTATATAAATGAGAGGATCTGACCACCTCCAAAGGAGTCCTGCACATTGATCTTTATGTACTCTGCTGGTGTCTCCCTGTTCATGGTGTCCAGTTGATTAGAAATCCTTGTTTAAATCAGGCTGTCTGAGTGCTGATGGTGAAGAGGGGCCCGAGGGTGAACACTCACGTGCAGTTTATTGAGCAGCACGGCGTCCGTGGTGCTGTTGGCTCCCGGCTTTGCTGCCTTCCAGAACTGCTTCTGAGCTGAGTACCGGTTCATGGGACACAGCTTGAACAGGCAATCTATAAAAACAGGGAATAAACAGAGAGATGGCTTCAGCTATTTAAAATTATCTGGGCTTTTGCTGCTAACGCCGTCCAAATATTCCAGCGGCAAGGAAGGGTTTATAAACAAATTCTGGAAAGCTCTTGATCAGACAAATGCTTTTTTGAGCAACAGGAATGCTGCCCCATGAATGATTAAAAACTAACTGCTGCTGCCAACATCTGATGCAAGACCAGAAAATTTATAACTTGTCCCAGTCGAAAACAGTACCAGACTAAAACGGGAACACGTTCCAGTGCTTTCCCAGGCAAACACATTTGTCTTGGGCACTCTCAGCTTGGAGTTGTTGTCCTTCAGCAGGTACACAATGTCAGGTTGGGGGGCTTTGGTTTGGGGGGGTGGGTTTGTTGCTGTTGCTGTCTGTTAAGTTTTTAAATCTAATCCCTTCTATTTCTAGGGAACATAGGACAAAAAAATTCACCTAATAAAGTGACAGGAGAAATTCACCTAATAAAGTGGCAGCAGCATAAAACCCTCCCAAAGAAGAGCCTGCACAAGCACAGCCACTCAGGGCATTGCTCGAGGTGACATCAAAGCCCTCGGGGTGTCAGGTTCTATACCCAGTACACTGACAGTTTATTTAACATTCTGCCTGGCAAAAGTCAGGAATCACAGCTCATTAGTCTTATTAAAAATACATTTCTGTATTAGAGATGCTAACTTATCAGCAATGAACCCAAATGAGCTGCAGTGACTGTTTCTCCTCCTCACTGTCTCCAAGCAACGGAACACGCAGAAAAATAAATTCAGCTATTCAAAGGCAGCGCCGAAAGTAGCAGCTCAGAAGTTCAACCAAAGTGCCAAAAGAGCCAGGAGGCTGTTCCCAGCCTCTCTGGCAATGATATGGATATAACACTTCAGGCCTAATCCACAGGGCCTTCCTCAAGGCTCCTGGTGTATCCCTGCAGACAATTCTGGAAGCAGGAAGGTGAGGAGAGACCGACTTAGGGGTTTGTCTTCACTGCCTGGAAAGCAGAGCTGCTCATTGGCTGCCTGGTTAATGGACACTCTGGATTCACATCAACCAAAAAGGGAAAAATCCAATCCTGAAGACAAGCCATCTCAGCTCTGCCAGAGGTTGAGACAGACCTCGGTAATTTTACCTCAGGACACCATTTGAGATGGACACGTTCACACTTCTAATGCCTTTCCTAAAGAAAAGCCCCATTTGATGCCACCCTGCCTGTCTAATCCATCCCCAAAGCAACACCTTTCACAGGAGGACAAAAAATCATCAAAAAACCAGAAGGTTTGGACTGGGAGAGACCTCAAAGCCCATCCAGTGCCACCCCCTGCCATGGGCAGGGACACCTTCCACCAGCCCAGGTTGCTCCAAGCCCCGTCCAACCTGGCCTTGGACACTTCCAGGGATGGGGCAGCCACAGCTTCTCTAGGCAATCTGTGCCAGGGCCTCCCCACCTTCACAGCAGGATGGTCTTCAAAGTCTGTCCTAAAAATTAAACCCACTCCTAACAGGGAGGATGAAGCAGTGGTGGCAGATCGTTGTTTCATCTCAGTGAGGCACTGACTGCCAAGTGGGCTGATCAATCTGTCCCAAACCAGCACAGGGATTCCTGCAGCCTGCTTGGCTGGGGACCAGTTTACCTGCCATATACCAATATACCAGCCCAGTATACCCACAGAGATACGGAAGGACCCGGGTACAGCACTGGGGCCCTTTAACAGTGACACTGGGGACAGACAGAGAGCTGAGGGCTCCTGGAAGGAGGTTTAACTGCAGCTCTCCAGAAACACTCAGCTCCACTTTGCCACCACCACCCCAAAGCTTCTGAGCCACGAGGGAAGCGCAAACCACACTTCCCAGGTTTGCTCTCTTCAACGGCTTCTTCCATTTACATAAAGATGATTCACAGAGATTGACAGCACAGAAGAGATTCAAAAAGCCACTGCGGGCTGGCACTTCAAACTAAGACTGCATTGTAAGCAACACACCAGTTATAAAATTTTCTATTTTTGCTGAAACCATCAGTTCACACAATGACAGCAATTAACACACAGAACTGCAGAGAAGAATTAATTGTATGCTAGATTTAGTCACAGTGAACTTCTTTCCATCCTCTTCAGTCAAGAAAGTTGTCAAGTTAGGTTTAACTTCTAAATTGTTAATGCAAGCAGCCCCCTCTCCTCCCTCAGGCACCAGGAGAGGTCTCCAAGAGTTTGACCTTGTCCAATGCAAGAAGGGAAAACATAACGTGGTTTTCTTAGCTTTCCATCCCAGTTAAAAAGCTACAGATCTAAAACAAACAAGAAAAAGCACCCAATATTTTCACTTCTAGTATTTGTTCTATGAAATCTATTTCTGAAGTGGTTGAGAAGTTCAGCTGTGCCTTACTCACTTTAACATGGCCACCGAAGGTTGACTGTTACTGAATGTAGTTCACCGTGGGTCGAACTACATCAGCTTCAGGGTCAAACTACATCAACTTTGTGGCCAGAAGACTTTCAGCTCTCCAGGTCTCATGGGCTTCTATGTTTATAACATCAAGGATGTGCTACCTGAGCACCATCACGGCCAGGGATGTGCAACCCACAGTAGTGGTGACTGTGTAAGATGAACCAACTCTTCCCAGACATGATCCTTATGGAATTTAGGTCTAAGATCCCAAATGAAGCCAAAGCAGCCCAAACCACTGGCTCTCTGCTCTGATCAAAGATTCAAGCAGATTTTAGCCACATAGGAAAGGTGATAAATAAAGCAATTACTGCACAGTAACCACATCTTTTTATAGACTGTTTGTTGAATATTAACCAGGAAGGAATGCATTTTCCTTTCAGATCTTCATGATACCCAGTGAAAAATGGCAGAATTGCACAATGAGTAAGTATAAAAATAAACCACCACGTCACTGTTGATGAAATGATGATACATCAAGCCTGAACACCCAACAAAGGTCCCACAGGAAAAAGCGATTGCATAATCCTACACCACCCCACCAGGATGATGAATGTTACATGGGCACGTATTAAATGTGCATTTCAATGCTCCCAAGCTAAATCCTGCTCTCCTGTCAGCGATTCCTCTGCATGGAATAAAGCAAGAGGGAGCACGACTGTAACTGCACCCCGTGAGGGATGAATGCTCTCCCTGCTGGGACACCGAGATCCCGCGGGGGCTCTGCCACCTGCAGCTCCAGGAAATGTCACCAGCAAGGCCTGGCTGTCCCCTGCATGCACCAGCAGCACAGAGCAATAGTCAAAACCAAGGATACTGGGAATGCCAGAAAATCCCATGTCCCAAAGTATTCTGGGGTTCAAACTTGCCAGCAACATTATTCCAACTGCAACTCCTTTTCCTCTATGTTTTTAATTTTCTCTTCTCCCTTTTACATTCCCTTCTCCTGACTAGACCTTTTCCTACTCAGCATAGTCTCCAAACTTCCAACCCTTCCTGCCAGTCCAAGCCCAACCAGTCACATTCCCAATGCCCAATTTTTGCTCTCATAACACAATTAAAAACCTGACCAGACTGACCATTTTCTGTCCTTTTTTTTTTTTTTAAGTCCCATTTAAGTAGTATGTCAAGATTATTACACTTATCCAAAATTGCAAATACCAGGTTTACAGAGGCTGGAATGATCTGGAGAAGGAAATAAAGTATTTCAGAGCCCACCCAAGACATCATCACCTTCTTTTAGACCAAGCTGCCTAGAAATGCATAACTCAAACACTCCCAGCAATTCCAGTCTTCCCTTCAGAGGGTTTTCCCACCTTTTGGGGCATTAAGTAATGTCATTACATCAATCCTACTGCTGGTACACGAGGACAGCTCAGAAAGCTGCTGCACAGGCACTGCTGACACCCAAAGCTCTTCATGGTGCCTGTGCTGGTGACAGCTGGACACAGCCACTGGGATGCTTTGGGCTGGAAGCCGTGGGCAGGGACACCTTCCACTAGCCCAGGTTGCTCCAAGTCCCGTCCAACCTGGCCTGGGACACTTCCAGGGATCCAGGGGCAGCCACAGCTTCTCTGGGCAACCTGTGCCAGGGCCTCCCCACCCTCCCAGGGAGGAATTCCTTCCCAATATCCCACCTAACCCTGCTCTCTGTCAGTGTGAAGCCATTCCCCCTTATCCTGTCCCTCCAGGCCCATGTAAACAGTCTCTCTCCATCTCCCTTTCAGGCTCCCCTCAGGTGCCATCTCTGCTCCTGCTGGATCAGCTCAGTTTTGGGGCCAGAACACCATTTTCCTCCCTCTGCCATTCCCAAAGTACCCAATTCTGAATGATCTGGAAGCACTTTCAGCCCCAGCCCGGCTGGTTGTATAACCCAGCACTCATCATTTTTTCCACATCTCCACTGCCTATTTTAAGCATTTAGTAGAAAGTCTTCCCCAACTTTTCTGCAGTTGGAGGAAGCAAGAATCAAATACTTTGTTGGCAACAAAAAGGTGTGTCGGTATTTTGGTTTTTAAACCCAGACTCTACAAGATGCCAATTGGAGAAAGGTAAGAACCAAGAAAAATTACTCCCCCTCACAAAAATCATACTTTAAGGTGCTCTCAGATGAGGGAAATCTACAAAATTGAAGATCCTTAAATAAGTCACTTACAAATCCACTGAATATTTAACACCAACACAGCTGTTTCTTCGTTACTTGGAAAAAACCAAACTCCTCTTTGTACACCAATACTAAAATTAAAAGAAAATTAGCAATTCCCTGTTGAAATTTATCGGTTTCTCTTCAGACTTTTCTATACTTAGGTACCTGATATTTCCCCAAGGCCAAAGCCTGCTCATAGGAGAGAAATATGTGGATAGTATCTTTTATTTCAAATATAAAAAAATAGCTGCAATGAGCAAGTAACAGAGCTGGCAATGATAGAAACACTCTGCAAATAGACTTCTTGACTTCATATTTATGAAAGTGCCCAGCTTCAATACACTCACAAGGATGATAACACTTCACAGGATGAAGAGTTTATTTATTTAAAGACAAAA